GAAAGCTTTATTTTTCCATCATATTTGAGTAACAGTTTTGTTTAATAGTGTATTCTTGGTGACCTTTAAAAACTTTTAGAATAGTGAATGTCATTCCATGCTCTTACATTTCTGCTGAGAAATTGATAAGCTAATTGGGTGGCCTTGGTATGCTGTGTTAATTTCCTCCTAGTAATCATCATTAGTATTTTTTTCTTTATTGTTGACTTAGAACAATTTAACAGTATTCTGTTGGCTTAAGTCTTTTTGTGTTTGGATAATTGATGTTTTATCAACTTTCAGGGCTTCTGTAGTTCTTTCCTTAGTTTTGGGGTGTTCTTAGCTCTATTATTTCTTTAAATAATTTAGACTTCCTCTTTTCTTTGCCTTCTTAAAGACCCAATATCATATTTCTTCTAGTAGAGTCTGATAATTCACATAATTTTTCTATTTGAGTCAGTAGAAGAAGTTTATCTCCATTTTAATGGAATCTTCAAATTTGTGGATTCTTTTTTCTGGCATTGTGCCTGTTCATTATGCTTTCATTACTTTTTGTTTTATTCGCTGAGTTTTTAATTTGGAACATTTTTGTTTGGAATTTTTCTATAGCTCAGTCTCTTTGAAGAATTCTTATGCTCCTACATTTACTTATTAATACTTTCTTTGTTACAACAGGTGAGCCTCTATTGCCTCCTGGGCCATCAACATTGGGAGCAGTATTGAGGAAGGACAGACAAGGGGAAGTGCAAGTGGGGAGAGGCCTGGAGGGACTGACCCCGGAAAGGTGCAGCCCCAATCCTTGGGCAGTCCCACATTTGTTTAGAACCAGGTTCAGAGAAGATGGCCAAGTAGTGGAGGAGTGTACAAGCATGCGGGGTGTTAACCATCTGGTGCAAGCTGGGGTGGAGTGACCTGGGGCTGCTGCCTGGGAGCGCCACAGTTCCTGCTAATCAAAGCACACCGCCTCTGAGCCCCCTAAATTTCTGCTGATCTTTATGAGTAAGGTATTCTACCTGATCTTGCTAATCAGCCATACTATTGCCTGCTGTTATTGGTTCAGCAGTTGCTGGTTTCCCAGTATTGTTACTCATACCAGGGCTTTTGCCCTGATGGGCCCGGGCCTGCTGCCCTGACTCTTACCTTTTAGTTTGACAGAGCAGGACCTCTGGGCATCAAGACAGTACTCCCTAACACAGAGGGCTAGGAATTCCACAGATCTCGTTGATTTCTTTCATAAATTGTTATGTTTACTGTTACATTTTCTGTCACTAAAATTCTGAAAATTTATCTTTCTCCTTATACCACAGAATTTTATCTTTGTGGTAGTTGCTATTTTTCCAGTAGGTGGCACAGTATTGATAGTTTTATGACCTCTCTCACCTTCCCTGCTCCCATCCCCAAACGCATACATACACCTTGGGTCTCTTTGTGGCCTGAGGTTCCTGTTGCAGGGGTGGGGCAGTGCCCTTCAGCCACCATCTTGGAGGAGTCAACATGTACCTAAAATCTCTCACTGAGTCCTCTCATGACCAGACCTACTTTCAGTCTGAGCACAAAGTGTTTGGGAACAGGCTTCCACCATGCCAAACTGCAAATATTTACAGCAGATAATCCTTACTTTCACTGAAGTTACTAAGTTTCCTTGTCACCCAGTCTTGGCTGACAGTGCGGGTATCCCCTCTTCTGATTGTTAGGGTCCAAAATCACCCGGCTGTCCCCCGCAACAAAGAACAGGACCAGAGATGCACAAGCAAGCAGAGTGTATTAAGCCAACTAGCTGGGGTCAAGCCCTCCTATCGGCCATTACATATGTCATAGCTGGCGCAAATTCAAAGAGTAACAAACTTCACAGCACCCAAGGACAGGTTGCCAAGACACCCAGGGACAGGTTTCTCACTCCTGAGACAGGAGCTGATATCAGGGTCTAGTCTCCAGCCGGTTTCAGGAGCTAGCTTCAGGTATGTTAACCTGCCTGCCCTCCTTTCTGGGCCCAGGGTGAGTCAGAGACTCAGACAGAGGGGCCTAGCGAGAGGGCTTAACATGATGAATTCTCAGGAGTCTTAGGATGTACTCAAGACCTGGCCCTTCCCCTGACTGTTCTGTGATCTTCACTGGTGTAGTAATACGCTGCCAGCCACAGGTAGAAGACAGGTTTTGCCATCTATATCACAGAAGTTTGACACTGGAGAACAAGTTCTGCTCTTAGGTTGCCACATGGTTCCTGCAACAGATGCGATAAAAGTCAGAACAGGACAGCCAGCTTCAGGAGACTTCAGAGGGCTTCCTCTGTGGAGTCCTAGAGAGATGTATTCCCGAAGATCTGGTCTTTCCTCTGCTTATTTTGTGACCAAAGAGTTACTGACAAGAACTGAATTAGGGCGGTAAAGAGTTGAACATTGCATCCAAGCTTGATAAGGTGGTAATAAACTGACCTTGCATCCAGGATGGGACTAGCTGAAGGTGATAAGGAACTGGGCCTCACATCAAGGACACAGCGATGAGTCACCTCTTTGAAATCTGAGCTTAGTACCTATATAGGAGACCCTTCCCCCCTATAGGGCTGGCAGTAGCTGAGGACCCCACTCTAGGGTCTCCGTCTCAGCTGCTGTCGGGGAGCAATAAACTCTGCTTCTTAGCGTTTCTGCCTCCTGCCTTTCTTGCTGCCCATCACAGAAGTTGGGACAAAACAATTAGTGCTGCTGATGACTACATTCTGCAGGACAAAGCTAAAGCCAAGTTTTGTAGCCAGTGGTGCAGAGCTTTGGTGGTGGAGACCAGCTTCCTTACTCTGGGTGGGTAGGGGGTGAGCAGGGAGCTCAGCCTGCACAGTATTCCTGCAAGAAATCACTGGTTTTCAATGACAACAGGGCGTCCAGCTTCAGGAGACTTCATGGGTCTTCCATGGGTCTGCCACCAGGCATCCTGGAGATGCAGGTCCCTTAAGGCCTGGCTGCCCTCCTTTTCATTGCAAGCTCCTTTCTGCACTCTCCTGCTGTTTGCAACCCTGCAGGCCACCCCTCCCACTGCTAAGTCCCACCCGCTTTCAAAACTGCCTGTGTATGTTATCAGGTGTCATCTGATGAGAGATGCAGGAGCTATTTAGTAGATTTATGGTTGTGTTTTCAGGAGATATTTTCCATGTTTTCTGGGAATTTTCAAGACTGGTCTTTTTTATTTTAAATCTTCTTAGTATGAAGTATAGGTAGTTCCCAACTTAACGATGGTTTGACTTAATTTTTTATTTTAAATAGTGCAAATTGCAAAATGCATTCAGTAGTCAGCTAAGCTATGATTGGTAGGTTAGCTGTATTAAATGCTTATTTGACTTAGTGTTTTCAACATTGGGGTTGTTGGGACATAACTCCATTATAAATTGGGGAGGAAGATCTATGATATTCAGCCACAGAAAGTATATAAACTATTCAGGGAAGTATCATTTTAACTGAAGTGTCAGTTTATGTAAGTCATGCCCCTGTTTAATACGATGCTGTTTCCAGGAGGAATGAATGTCAGGATTAAATTGAGTTCTCTGCCACCCTTCTGGTGTCTTGAGAATGCTGGTTGGTGTGGAGTGGCCTTACCCACAAACTCATATTACGGTAGAATTGCAGGGCATACTCAGTATAATCAGTGAAGGTTTTTCTTTTTTAAAATTTACTTATGCATCCAGAGCTGGGGTACAGGCCAGAGGTGCAGGAGCAGTGAGAGGACTCACTAGAGACAGAGTGGGGAGCAGAACAGGCAGATCAACTGAAATAACAGTGTTGAAGAGGAGCAGCTTGCGGGACAGGAGAGGTCTGTCCTGTGGGTCACCTCCCTGGCTGGGGATCAAGCTAGT